AGAGGTGTGATCAGGTCCCCCAATATTATCATAGAGCAGATGCTTCTTCTGTCACTCTGACACAGGCTTTGTTGAGAGAGACATCCTCTTCTTTTCTTTGTCTTTACTGGTGACTCTCCTTGTGTCAACGCACTCCAGTGGCTGGCGGACCATCTGTGTGGTGGGTGTGGCATTGAGCTGCTTTCACAGCAGCCATAGTTATTGTGGTGACTGTGGTGGGCCACCTACATGGAGGTGATGCTTTTGGCATGCTCCTTGGCACTGGTGATGTGCCTGGTTGTGAGGAGTGTCTGGTCCCTGGCTCCAAGCCTCAGGTCCCTGGGCAGGCCCCATGGCACTAGCATGGTGTGCCTGGTTGTGGGAGGGGGTCCGGTCCCCTTCTCCATGCCTTGGGTCACCGGGCGGGCCCTGAGGTGCTGGAGCGGTACCTGGTTGTGTGAGGGTGGTCTGGTCCCCAAGTCCGTGGGCAGGCCCCGAGGCACTGGCATGGTGTGCCTGGTTGTCAGAGGGAGGTCTGGTCCCCTTCTCCATGCCTTGGGTCACCGGGCGGGCCCTGAGGTGCTGGAGCGGTACCTGGTTGTGTGAGGGTGGTCTGGTCCCCAAGTCCGTGGGCAGGCCCCGAGGCACTGGCATGGTGTGCCTGGTTGTCAGAGGGAGGTCTGGTCCCCTTCTCCATGCCTTGGGTCCCCAGGCGAGCACAGAGGCCCTGGCATGATGTGCCTGGTTGTGGGAGGGGGGTCCAGTCCCCTTCTCCATGCCTTGGGACCCTGGCAGGACCCAAGGCACTGGTGCGGTGTGCCCGGTTGTAGGACAAAGGGCTGGTCCCCTTTTCCATGCCTTGGGTCCCCAGGCGGGCCCTGTGGCGCTGGCACAGTGTCCCTGGTTGTGGGAGGGGGATCTGGTCCCCAGCTCCATACCTTGGGTTCCTGGGCAGGCCCTGATCCTGAGGCGTTGACAGTGTGCCTGGATGTGGGAGTGGGGTCTGGTCCCCAGCTTCAAGCCTCCAGTTCCTGGACAGGCCCCAAGGCGCTGGTGCTGTGAGTGGTTATGGGCTGGGGTCCTGTTCCCGGCTCCATGCCTCATGTCGCCTGGTGGGCCCCAAGGTGCTGGTGGTATGCCTGTACTGGAACTAATTTTTTGTCCTTTGTTTACTTCTAACACAGGGGAACTTCCTGTGGGAACCAGTACTTGGGCTGTGTGGTTGAGCTAAATTGCTGCTTTGCTGCTGTTTCCCTAGGGAAAGGTTTTTGTGAAGCTCAGGGTTTAATGGTTGACCTTATAGGTACTTCCAGCTTTCCAGAGACTTGGTGCACCTGGGTTGTGTAGAAACTCTGATCTGGGCCTGAGTTTTTTCATCAAACTGCACCCCATGCAATTCTGCATTCCCAACCAGTCTCCTCTGAGTGGTCCTGCGCTGACTGGGGGGGAGGATCAGCTGTCTTTGCTGTGTCCTAGTGTTCTCCCAGTGGGCCTGTCTCTCCCACCACCCATGCTCCAAACACTTCCCATGGGTCAGGCCCTGTGCCAGTCCCTTGCGCTGACTCGTGGGCCTCTGAATGACTCCCCTTTTTCAGCTGTTCTGGCTCCTCACTCCTGCATGGGTCCATAGGAGCCCTATTAGTGGTCTTGCTGTCCTGGGGGCCACCAAGGTCCTCTTCTCCCCCACCGCCTTCAAGTAACTCCATCTGAAGGGCACAGCTGCAGCTTCTGCTGGCTTCTGCTCCGCGGCTCAGCAGCTCCAGCATTAAAGCAGCCATGGCCCCAAATGCTCCGAGCAGTTTTTTCTTTCTCTCATTGTGGTTTCTCCCGCCTTCATGAACTCCCTAGGTCTTTCCTCCTCTTCCCCTGAGCTCCAGCTGGAAACCATCTATTCTGCCATCTTGACTGGAACCTCCAGTTTAGCATTTTGTACAAAGTTGAACATATGGACTTGAACAGTACTCCAGTAATTCCATTCCTATGTATATACCTGTTAGAAATGTATGCCCATGAATATTAAAACATGTATACAAGAACTTTTATGGCAGCATTATTCATAATAGTCTCCAAACTGGAACACATCTAAGTGTCCCATCTGTGATATTTGTGCAACAAAATACTGTACAGCAGTGAAAATGATCCAGCTATAGCCATATGCAACAACATGGATGAATAAAGTTCTTTTGTACCCCACTGATAGTTATTTTAATAACTGCTTTTGTGTGTACAAATTTGCACTACCATTAAAATTATTTTTTCTGCTAAATATATTTCCATCTGTGATTATCACTGTTGCTTTTCAAATTTTTAAATAATAGGATTTACTTAAATCCATTGTTTCAAGAATGAAGAAGGCGGTAGAAGATGATGTTTTTATTCCTCTGTATCCAAAGAGGTAAGAACTGTTAATTTTAGATTGTTTGAAATAGCTAATCATGTAATACAGATTTGTCTAAGAATGTAATAAAGCAACTATAGTATTTTCAAAAGATGCGTACACATACTCTGTTAAGATACAAATTGGGATTTCAAGAAATATTACTATATGTCATACATGATTTTTCGCACTTGGACATTTTTTTTTTTTTTTTCTTTTATTTTTTTTCCTTTTTGTCTTTTTTCGTGACCAGTAACGGGATCGTGACCGGCAACGGGATCGCAACCCTTAGTGTTGCGCCCGCACCACGCTCAACCAGTGAGTGGACCGGTCTCTATATGGGATCCGAACCCTCAGCGGGAGCACTGCCGCGCTCTCAAGCGCCGCACTCTACCAAGTGCGCCACCGGGCCGGCCCTTTTTTTTTTTTTTTTATGTGTATGAACGTGAGAGGTGATGTAGAGTGGCAAAGAGCACAGATCTGGTGCCTGGGACCACCATTACTAGATATTTGATCTTGGACATTTCTGTGCATCAATGTCCTCATCTGTAAAATGGGGATGAAATTATTGTTCTCTAGTAAAAATAGAGAACATTAGGAGGATGAAGAGAGTGCTCAGAACAGATTAGTGCCAGGCACAGAGCAAGCGCTGCTGAGGGACCAGAAACGGCAACTGTGAATTTTATATTCACTTTAAATTATGAAACAAGTGGTATTTGGTGTATAGATGTTCATTTGCTAAATCATTTATAGTAATGATTCATGAACTGTAGCTATCTAGTGAGTTCTCACAAGATGGAAGAGCTTCATGGAGGAGGAAAAAAGAGCTTCATAGTCTTCTGATTCAATTTGAATCATGAAGAGATGTCTCTGCATGTAAAAATTCTGCCCTGATAAGGTTTGTTTTGTAATGTTTTAGATAAGTAGTAGAGTCACATGGTTCAAAGGTAGGAATGTGGTTTGTTTGTTTGTTTAAAATGAAAAGTTTTAGCCCCACCCCTGACCTAATCAACTGTTTTTGCCCTTCCCCTTCCATATGCAATAATAATCACTGTTAGTAATGTTTATCTTTCTAGAATTTCTTCATGCAGATAGAGGTAAATACTTTTAAATGCTGTAATGTTATTTTCCCCTCTTTTCTACAGCAAAGGAAGTATTTTGTAAACAGTTGTAACCAATTTTGTATCTTTTTTCACTTAGTACATCTTTGACATTTTTTCATGTCATTATATAAAAGTAGTTTCCTCATTCTTTTTTAAACAGCATAACATGCCATCATGTGAATGTGCTGTAACTGAAGGGCATGTGAGTGGTAAACTACTACCAACAATGATGATGTAAATAATCTTATAGACTTATCGTTCTGTACCTATGCAAGTATATCTGCAAGAGGCATTCTCAGAAATGGGATGGTTGGGTCAGAGTATGCATGTATTTGTAATTTTGATAGATACTATCAAAGTACTTCCATTTATATCCCGTTAAGGGCTTAGTTTGTTGGTTAAAAATAAATCTGTTTTTTAAACTCTGGTTATGAAAAAGTAACAGTCTTTTGCATTTTCTCTTTTCTCTTCCTTTTGTTTCGTGTTAGTGCTGTAGAAAACAAAACATCACCACATTCAGAATTCCAAGAAAGACGGTTCTGGTCAGGTCTAAAGGTGAGCAAAAGCTGCAAAAATTAAAATATAGGTTTTTTTGTTTGTTTGTTTGTTTGTTTG